GTCATACAGCTGTAGGGATCGGAAGAGTTAAGGTGGGGGAGTCGTTTAGCAAGGGATATCAAGACGAGATTGGAGAGTTAGACAAATCTGAAGTAGACGAGGAGCAAGAGGATATCATCGAGCTGCAGAACTCGCGGACGACAGCAATAGGTGTAGGCAACTACAGCGTACCGATCGATATCGTTAAGCATCTCAGCGTACGGTCGATTGATGCGTTCCGGCAGCTTAGCGTAGCATGGCACCGCTTCTTAGGGGTAGATAGGAGCGCAACTAAGTACGTCGAGCCGAGCAGAACGACAAAGAGGCCGATGCGAAACAGCACGTCAGCGCTTGTCAGGCTGCCGAAAGAGAAGGAGGTCCGTGTCTTAGACCCGCGGGCCGATGCTATACACCGGGGGCTGCAACAGGTGCTAGGCAAGCAAGACGTCGGCTTTCGATCGGTAGAGCAGGAGCAGGCTTTGCACGCTGTGCTAGAGAAGCAGACGCCGCTTATTGTCGTGCTTCCAACGGGCGGGGGCAAGAGCTTGCTATTTACGCTGCCGGCTTGCGTGGAGGAGACAGGCGTAACGGTTGTTGTTGTACCGTACCGAGCGTTGATTGAAGACTTAGTCGGGCGGATTCAGCGGTGCGGCGTCGACTGCATAGAGTGGAAGTACGGCGAGAACGATCCGGCATCTGTGGTCGTAGTCAGCGCAGACGTAGCTGGCGATATTAAAAGCGGCGGCAACTTTTTGGGGTACGCGAGGACGCTCAAGGCAAAGGGGCTGCTGCACCAAGTCGTGATTGACGAGTGTCATCTCGTGTTTACGTCAACGCACTGGCGGGAGAAGCTGTTAACGGTGAAGAACTTGCGGCTGCTCAGATGCCCGATTGTAATATTGACAGCAACATTGCCGCCGCTGCGAGAGATAGAACTTAAGTCAAGTATGCTTGTGCGTCACGCAACATACGTACGGGCAAGCACAGTACGGCCGAACGCGCGGTACTTTGTGTCGTGGTGTCAGCGTGGCAAGCTTCAGGACACAGCGTTGTTCATATGTAAGCGATAGGCAGAGAGGCTGCAGCGGAGCAGGCAGAAGGGGGTTGTATACTGTAAGAGTAAGCCGCAGTGCGAGGCAATTGCAGAGGAACTCAGGTGCGCTCATTATCACGCAGATGTGGTAGATCGTGGAGACCAGCTACAAGAGTGGGTAGAGAGGGGTGGGATAATTGTGGCAACGTCTGCGCTCGGAACGGGGGTAGACTTTGCGGGGATTGTGTATATCTTGCACGTAGGCATGCCGTGGAGCATGAGTGACTTTGCGCAGGCAAGTGGTCGCGGAGGAAGAGGGGGAGAGCAATTTGATGTAGTGGTGCTAGTAGAGCATGGGGAGGTAGAGAAGGCGATAGAGAGGGAGAAGGACGAGATTGATGTGCTGGCGATAGGACAGTTTTTAATTGGCAGTAGATGTCGACGAGAGCTGATGAGCTCATACTTGGATCAAAGAGGGGTGAGCTGTCGGGACATTGAGGCAGCGGGATGCGATCGATGCGGAGAGGGGGAGGAGGTATAGATAGAGGAGCACGTAGATTGGGCGCAGGAATGGGCCGCTGTAGAGGAGACATTTACGGAGCTGCGAAACGGATGTGCGATATGCTGGCTCGTTAGACAGGAGTATCAGACAAGAGAGGAGGGGCAATGGAGAAGGCACCGGGCGATGCAGTGCACGGCGTAGGAGAGGGCATCTAGAGAGGAGGCTAATCAGTTCCGAAGGAAGATTGTGGATCGGACCGTGAGAAACAACTGTCGGCGGTGCTAGGTAAGTCAGAGATACTGCGCAACACGAGAAGGAATAGACAAGCGTTGTCAGTGGCCGAATGTAGTAGTACCGCTAGCGTACGCAGCGCGGCTGACAAGAAAAGGGATTCAAACAATAGGAGAGTCGGGGTTTAGGGAGATAGGTGACGAGGCATATGCAGCGTGGCTAGGCAAGAGACATAGAGAAGAGATATAGGGGCAGATTTTTACGAACGCGATGGTAATAGCTATAAAGCTAGTGCTAGAGGTTGTAGGTATAAGAGCGATAGACAAGATAGAGTA